TGGCTTAGTAGCTAATATCTTCGCTTGTGCACACAGAAGGACTAAAGTTCGATTTCCGAGACGATCAAAAAATGATAATTGATTTTTTTGTTTAGAAATTCCAAGTAGCGGTTTGCAGAAAGTAATTAGGCAGTAGTGGTGGTAGAAAGTGAGTGATTTGGATGCTCGGAGGTCGTTACCGAAAACGTTCAGATTCATCACACTAATAAGTATTATCAATGCGAAAGTTTGTAAGTATGTGTGTATTTATTTCTTCATGCTGTAACTGCTCAACGTTTCGCTCTGAACTCAACGCTCAAAGGATTTGAGTGATATTCGGAATGGACACAGCTTATATTTTGTATTTACTTGGACATAAACAATATAAATGTGGCTAAGTCTTTATATGATGTAGATATATTACCTATATGTAAATATATGAAATAAAAAAATGTAATCTAATATATAAATATCTCGTGTCACGGTGTTTGTGGTCTCCTCCGAAACGGCTCGACCGATTTTAATGTAATTTTTTTGTATACATATTTGGTAGGTATGAAAATAGGTCGTAAAGTATTTTTCACCCTCCAATCCGCCCTCCCCGTTTTTTAATCACGATTTTAGTATTTTTGTATGTACAATCTATTATTCCTTCCCACGGAAAAACACAATAACTGGTTCTATCGAATTGTCCTTAGAAAATATGGCTAACGCTGGCTCAACCTTAAGAGATAAATCAAAACATTGTACAAGAAAATTGTAACTCTTAAAAAGGTCGAATAATAAAACTGTAGAGGTCGAATGATTTACATTAAAAAAATGCTAAAAACCGAGTCAGTTATCTTCTTACATCCCGTAAGAAGAAAAATGGAAGGAATCCAGATGTTTTCAATTTTTTTTGTTTCTCTGTCTGTTTATCTGTTTGTACGATCTAATCTCCGAAACTGTTTGACCGATTTAAATGAAATTTTGCATAGTGGTACCTTATATCCCCAGTCAATATCTTAGATATTTTTCATCCCAGAAAATTAAAGAGTTCCCGTGGGATAGTTAAAAAACTATAGTACCTTATACAGCTTAGTACACAGCAACTTATGCACCTAATTTAGTATTTAAGATTCTGATACCTTATATTGCCAGTTAAACAACAGGTTACTTTTCATCCCGGAAAAATGACCGGTTCCCGTGGGAACTAATAGATCTCTATTAGTGTTTTTCTAGAGGCGAACCCGAGCGAAGCGAGGGCGAGCCGCTAGTATGATATAAATACATACGCTGTATAACATAAAGCCAAAGAGTTTTTTTTTGTAGATATAACGCGGGCGTAGCTGTGGGTTTTGCTTTTTATTATATTGGCTACCCTGCAAAATGAAACCTTTGTGTCATTACACAATTTCTGTCTCGGTGTTGGAATTTAAAAAATGTCACATGTAATCGAAAACTGGAAAGTTCGCTTTAAGAATTATGTTATAATACTTTTTAAATAAACCTATCTTTTCGGTTTGTTTCGCGGATTTATTTCGATTTTTGGTTCCGACGTTTCGAATGCTTTACCGTAAACATAGTTACGGGAGAGACTAAGTTATTAGATGTCTCAAAAGTTATATATTTGTTACGGGCCTACCCACCAAAGTACCTTGCAATATTCGTTAATGTAAATTGTAAACATTTTTATAATTTTTTGAGTTATATAGAATACATACATTAAATATCATTTATTATTTAATTATTTTTAGAAGCTATTATTAACTATTATCACATTTTTTATAAATCTTTATCAAATAATCTGAGTGTTGCTATTATTATGTGTATAAACTTAAATAATTTAACACAAAATCCGAAAATAGATAGGTTAATGAATCATGTCTCTACATTCTTTTTCTTCATAAAATAATTATAACAGATTTGCCCTGAAGGATAGTTTCAATTATCGTAACTATTTTATTTATATAAATAGAGAATTAACAGAAGGTACCTACCATTATTTTAATTATAAAATTTTATAATTTAATTTTGAGTGACTAGTATAATTACACAGTTTTAAATAAAACTATCTTTTCGGATTATTTCGCGGATTTATTTTGATTTTTGGTTCCCGACGTTTCGAATGCTTTACAGCATCCATGGTCACGGGAGAGACTGAGGTGTTACATGTCTTAAAGATATAGTTGTTACAGACAGCCTACCCACAATTAACAAAATGAAAATTGCACCAATTACATTACAATATTTTTAACTTTAAACATTTTTTATAATTTTAATTATAATTGAATATGGAAAATTATTTATTTAATTTTTGCTATTAATTTTATAATTATTACAATTTTAAAAATATTAATTAGTAATCTATATTTAGTGTTGCCATTATTATATTTATAACCATAAATAAAAAATATAAAAATATAGTATTAATTATTAAAGCCATATAATTGTTCTATGTGTAATTTAAAAAGTTAAAATTAATTACGGATAATCATTTTAATTTAGTTTGCTATTATTTAAAAACAACTTACTAAGCAACACTATTAATATATACTTTTTTTTTTTTTTTTTTTTTTTTTTTTTAGTGTTGCTTAGTAAGTTGTTTTTAAATAATAGCAAACTAAATTAAAATGATTATCCGTAATTAATTTTAACTTTTTAAATTACACATAGAACAATTATATGGCTTTAATAATTAATACTATATTTTTATATTTTTTATTTATGGTTATAAATATAATAATGGCAACACTAAATATAGATTACTAATTAATATTTTTAAAATTGTAATAATTATAAAATTAATAGCAAAAATTAAATAAATAATTTTCCATATTCAATTATAATTAAAATTATAAAAAAATGTTTAAAGTTAAAAATATTGTAATGTAATTGGTGCAATTTTCATTTTGTTAATTGTGGGTAGGCTGTCTGTAACAACTATATCTTTAAGACATGTAACACCTCAGTCTCTCCCGTGACCATGGATGCTGTAAAGCATTCGAAACGTCGGGAACCAAAAATCAAAATAAATCCGCGAAATAATCCGAAAAGATAGTTTTATTTAAAAATGTCAAACATTCGCATAAATCTAAGAAAGTATAATTACACAGCTTACAAAATCTTGTTCAATGAGCACAATTGTCCTTAATCACGTAGTGGATCAAATTTAATTGATATTTAAAAAATCCCAATACTAAAACGGCAAAACTGAATTTGATAAAACATGTCTAAAAACCACCGCTAAAAAACCTGCTTTCAAATTAAAAAAAACCCGCATCCAAATCGGTTCATCCGATTTACAGACACACACACAGAAGTTAAACTTATACAATCCCTCTTTTTGCGTCGGCGGTTAAAAATAAGTGAAATCTAATAAATCTTAATAAATGCTTTTCGATAAAATGTTACATGGTGCTAGTTATTGTATTTTGGGAGCTACTGCTCCCTTATATATAAGATGTAATTAATTATCTATACATTTTTTAATTAATTATCTATATCATTATGCTTATTATAGGCTTATAATAACCAAAATAGGTTACCAACAGGCGAAAAACATATAAATTCAAACGAAAACCCTTATTGATATCGACTAATAAAATATAGAGTTCTAAACATGTACGTAGAGTCACAAAATACCACTAAGACGGTAACATAATTAAGGCTTAGAACATAAAAGCTACTTATGATGTGTGCGAGATGATAAGAATAGCTAATGTTGAATGCAAACACTGTCTTGTAAAGATAGTAAGTTTCGTAACGAGGAATTTGGAGACACATCGTAAAATTCTGAGGATTTTGGTACAGTCGTAAAGGGACGTAATCTATATATTTTCTCTTTTATTTATGGAGTATATAAGCAGCTTTGTTGGTATATTGACTAGAATTTACTTCAGTACGAGCAAAACTAAAATTCTTGTATAGAGTTTCAGGTCAGTCCATAATAAATTTTATATATAATTATTTAGATTCTTATCAATAAATATTTAGTGATAAATGCTTGGAGAATTTAGTCATAGTCCATTAAGTTAGCTTCACATTTTTTTCCGTACAATATTATTTTACCATATCGTCATCACAGTGTTTATTTGTCCATACGACCAATTTACCGAAAGAGTTTTTAATACAGAATTATTTTTATTAAATGTCAATTCTATTGATATAAAATACAAATTTTATTTTTAAAAAGTCAAAAAGATGTATTTTATCTACATATGTATAATATATATACATTTTAGAAATAAAGCTTAGTTTTTAAAATAGAGGAAAAACTCTTTTGTAAAATACAACAAATATTGGTGGTTTGTAAGCATTAAGGCGATGATATCAATAAATGGTAGGCACCGGACTAATATTATAAATCCGATAGTTTGTATATGAGTGTAGGTGTACACATATTTGTTAGTCCTTCAAGCTGAAATGGACAGATTTTGATGAAATTTGGCCTGAAATAACATATTGCTTACTGTTAGGCACCTAGTTGGTTTGCTGGTTGAATATTGATTCGCACATGAAAATGTCAGAGATGAGAGACATGGGGTTAGAATCTGCTTTACTTGGTTTTCAAGTAAGAGCAACCTTTTCCACTAAGCAAAGAGTACACACGAGAGAATAATCTGACTTATTAACTCATTTACTTCATTTGCACCTGCGAGCCATTCAGTAACTTTTCGTAAAATACTAATATGTCGCAAAAATCACTTAAAGTATCGCGATAAATAGTAATAAAAAACAAATACACGTTCGCAATTAAAAAATAAATATTATTATTAATTTTTTTAACCATTTTGTGAATTCTATCGTGAATGATTTAATCTAATAGGGCATTTTTTCTATGAACGTTCCTTTTACCTGTGATGAGCAAAGAGATTTTGTTAGAACAATAAAAAAATATTAGAAAAATATAATTACAGTATTATGACATTCTTTATTATCATTTAGATTATTATCTGTATTATTTTTGACATTTATCTGTGTCTTATCTCGTAAAATTGTTTTTTTACATAATATTTTTGTATTTTATATTTTAGAAGTAAATGGCAGATACTAATTTATTGCTACAATGTCTTCTGGGAATGCAGTGCAAGGACTTTGCGATCATCGCTGCAGACCAATTGAACACACAAAGTGTTGTTATCATAAAAAATGGTAAGAGTGGAAATTCGTTTAGTTAAAGTGTAAAGAACAAGAAATCCCCCAGTAAATATACTCTACTACTTTATAAGTAAAAATTACATCGTTTTTAATTTATGAGGTAATTCAAAAGCCGAATTATCTTATTTTCCACTCAAAAACAAACTTCTGTTTGGCGCAAATTAAAATTTAAATATTTTCTTTGAATTTAACGTCCTTATTATGTAATGCAAATCCAGTAAAACTGTTATTTCATCGCAGTTGTTTGAATTATATTGTAAAGAATTGAAGATTTTTATATAAATGGTCAAAAAATATAATTAAAAAAGATCATCATTTTAAAAACGTCAATAACGTTTTATTTTATGACCAACCCTAAAAATAAGGTAATGAAGCAAATGTACGTTTTTTTGTGTAACAATCACATTTTTTTCGATGTTTAGGCTTGTGTAAGCTATTCTCATATAATATTTTCTTAGATTTACACGAATATTTGACATTTTAAATGAAACTATTTTTACGGACTTTGTCGCGGTTTAATTTGTTTATTTGTTAGCGATGTTCCGAACGCTTTACAACAAACGTGGTTATTCAACTGGCACGCTTTGAAGCTATAAATACGAAAATTGAATTGAACATGATTATGGCCATAAAAACCCAAAACATAGTTTTATTAAATCTATACATATAATAAAATTGTAACTAAGCCGAATCTGTACATTAAAAATTTTTTGGAAAATCTTATTGAAATAAACATTATTAGCGATACAGAGGCCGAATCTGTAGTTTTTAGAATTTTTGTCTGTCTGTCTATCTGTTACCGCGTCACAGAGAAACCACTGGAGGGATTTTGATGAAATTTGGTATGGTGATAGCTGGTTATCCGGGTCAACATATAGAATACTTTTTACCGCGGAAAAATATCTGATTTCTGAGAAAAAATTCAAAAACTGCAATGTAAGAGTATACTAATATGCAAAACCTAAGAATTTGGTTTTTGATCGTCTGAACGCGGGCGGAGCCGCGGGCAATGTTAGTCACATATAAATTAATAATCTATTTATAGAAATGGTCTATTTACCTCCGCTGATAAGATCCCAGGTAACGGAATAATTAAGAATGATAAAATCAATGTCAAGTGACAACCTTGTACACCACCTTGTCCCCATTGCAGTGCTTGCATATTATTTACGGCTGTTTAATAGCAGTAAAACTAAAAATAAATAAACTTCTAGATATCAATATAAAAAAACTACGTTTAATAAAACCGATTTTAAAAACTAAAAAGTAGAAAATAACTTAATAAAGATTTAATTTTAAACACCTCTTATGCAAACTTAATACCTTTAATATTAATAAAATAGTATTATTTGTATGTGCTACCTATTGATAGGTTTGAAGTCGGTGCCAAGCCAAATGTTATAGTAGATACCTATACTCGCTAAAAAATCTATACTAAGGGCATCGAAACAAAAAATATACAGAGACACACACACACACAGATAGCGGGAAGCGACGTTGTTTTATACTATGTAGTGATGTGTTTTTATTCGGCACGCTCTACGGCCTAAATGTGTCGATGAAATTAATTTTAATAATAATTATGGCGTCTGCAAATAAAAAGGTTATGGTTGATGTAAAAATAGTTTTATTATTACAGTTATCTCCGTTCGATATAAAATAAAAGCTTGTGAACAATTACTACTTAATTTAATTATATGCTACCATTATGACAAATTACAAAAAAGTAATTAGGTACGAGTACCTATACCTTAAAACCCTTTGCACAGTGGGGCTTAGTAATTTTTCTATATTAATATTGCTTGTAGAAAGTACATGAATTGATTTTATTTGTATAGATTTTCTTGTTTAGTATTAAATCTAATTTCGACTAGACTGCACTGCTTTTTTATTTTAATAGCTTTAAGCTTGATTCAAACTTGTAACTACCTTCATATAGAGGTAACCTGATAGCAACGAAAAATTCCATCAAATCAAATATAACTTACATAATTATAATATTAAGAAACTATCTATTCAACAACTGCGTTGTAAAATGGTATAAATGATAAAATCTTTCGCTTCATTGGAGTAAAAATAATTACTTAGAGATACACCGGATTGAGATAAAAATTGCGTTCACAGCTATTGTTACTTTACATAATTCTAATTATACTACTTTTCGCTTTTAATTTTATTATTTATCGCTTTTTCGACAAGTGCAGTCGTTTAAAATAGGTAATTGTGCGATATCTAGAAAGCAATCGCATTTGCTGTACTATTGTTTGATGAGACTTTTATTACGCTGCAATTATTACGTTCTCGCAAAGATTGATGCAACTAAACCCATTTTCTTGTCCATACAAATTGAATGAATGCAAAACAATTTTTTTTAGATAATGCAACTTTTTGGCACAGGATGTTGTCAGAAATTAGATGTACCGAGATAAAAAGTCTCTGTCACTCTCCTAAACTATATATGTCAGATATTTTCTTTTAATTTTTTTATTTATGTACTATATGAACAAAGGATGAATTATCTTTTGAAGAGATAACTTTCAGAAATTCTCGAGAATTAGAGAAAATACTACCTATTTGTAAATAAAATTACATAAATCCCAGCCCCGTTTTACAATAAAGAAGAATAAACAGACACACCAACTTATTTTTATGTTCATATTACTATTTACGTGAAGAAGAATAGAAGCGAATAAATCCCATATTAATGTAAGCTTTATTTAAAACTAGCGACTCACCTTCGCTCCGTTCGGGTGCGTACCTAGTTACGTTTTAACGTTTAGTATAAATTTCTCAGAGATGAGATATTTTTCTGCGGTAAAAAGTATTCTTTATAGTTGATCCGAATACCCAGCTTTCATCATACCAAATTTTATCAAAATCTATCCAGTGTTTTCTCGTGATGCGATCTCAGAAAGTCAGACAAAATTTCTAAAAATTAGACTCGGACTCTGTATCGAAAATAATGACTATTTCAATAAGATTTTCATATATATATATATACATAAAGAGGAATTAAATCTATACATATAATAAAATTGTAACTAAGCCAAATCTGTACATTAAATATTTTTTGGAAAATCTTATTGAAATAGACATTATTATCGATACAGCGGCCGAATCTATAGTTTTTAGAATTTTAGTCTGTCTGTCTGTTACAGCATCATTATCGAAAATATCTCATTTCTGGAAAAAAAATACAAAAACTGCAATGTAAGAGTTGCTAATATGTAAAACCTAAGAATTTTGTTTTTGGTCATCTGAACGCGAGCGGAGCTGCGGGCAATGCTAGTAAATAAATAAATTGATGCAATTGATAAAACTGTATTTTTGTAGATGTGGACAAAATTTTCGAATTATCGGACAAGCTCTTACTTGGCGTGAACGGAGATGCAGGAGATATGGCGCAGTTCTCTCAGTACATAGCGCAGAACTTGCAGCTGTATGAGATGAAGAACAAGTACCAGTTGGCCCCAGCAGCCGTAGTGCACTTTACGAGAAAGAACATGACTGATGCTTTACGAAGTGGGGTGAGGGTGTTTTGGCTTATATCTTTTTTGCTAACTTCCTTTGATTATTTTCACTTGTTATTAAATATATAATTAAATTTTAATTAAATCTATAAATATAATAAAATTCGAACTAAGCCGAATCTGTACATCAAATATTTTTTGGAAAATCTTATTGCAAGAGATATTATTATCGATGCAGAGGCCGAATTTATAGTTTTTAAAATTTTTGTCTGTCTGTCTGTCTGTTACCGCATCACGGAAAAACCCCTGGAGGGATTTTAATGAAATTTGGTATGATGGGACCTGGTTATCCGGGTCAACATATAGGATACTTTTTACCGCGGGAAAATATCTCATTTCTGAGAAATGTATACTAAACATTAAAACTTAAGTAGGAACGAACCCGGGCGGAGCGAGGGTGAATCGCTAGTCACGTATATAATTGAATTTTAATTAAAACTATCTTTTCGGATTATTTCGCTGATTTATTTTGATTTTTGGTTCACGACGCTTTGAATGCTTTACAGCAAAAGCTCTTTCTCTTTGCAAAAAAAATTTTGGAAGGTAGGTAATTTATAGGAATGGCTTGTTTACAGAATCCAACTATATTGAACATGTTATTTGCGAGTTACGATGAGGAGATGGGTAGTCAACTATACACCATGGACTTTTTAGCATCTTGTGTAAACGTGCCCTACGCATCGCATGGCATCGGAGGTCTCCTTGGAATTAGTATTCTGGACAACTATTATAGGCCAAGTAAGAATATGAAATAAATATTATCAAAATAAATTTAAATAGATATGCACAAAAATGTAAGAATAAGAAATGTGTGAAAGTACACTAAAGGGCTTAATAATTAGGTGAATATTAATTAATTTTAATTTTAAAATATATTTTTGAGTTGGTATGAGTAAACTTTTTTTATCACATTAATGGACCTGCTTAGACTTAAATCTACCATGCAGGTAAAGCCGTGTGTAAAGTTATTTATATATAAGTAATTAGGAAAAGCTAGGCTAAGTTTTTGTGTAAAGATGAATTCATGGAAATTGAAATGGAGGAAAAATAAAATTGTCGCAAGCATTAAAATTTATAATTATAAAATTTAAAATGATAAAATATATATTAAAATTTACTTATAAGTAATCAGTTCATACGTAAGTGTACAACATATTTTCCCATGAAACAGCTCTATCGGAACTAGAAGCCTATGAGGTAATCAAGCTGTGCATATACGAGATCCAACACCGGTTATTTATGAACCTACCCAACTTTAAAGTCAAAACGGTCTCCAAAGATGGCGTCAAGACACTTCCTGATATTAATACTGCGACGTTTGTGAAAAAGTAATTTTAATTAAAATAGTATGCCTATAAAATTTTGTTTTGATTTCTATTTCAAAGTTAATGCACCTTTACTATAATTATTAGTGTGGAAGTGTTTGTTGGTTTTCTGCTTTTGTTTGTAGTGCGGTTCTTTCTGATTTGATGTAGCAAAGTATTATGATAATTACTGAGCTTAACGTCCCACTGCTGGGCATGGGCCCCTCAGTAGTCCACCTCTCTAAACACATGCGGTTTGGCAGACGTCACATGTCTTTCCACATGCAGGTTTCCTCATATTTAAAAGAAGTTCGAGGTAAAGTTATCATATTTTTAGAGGTTTTCATGTTGAAAAAACATACATTTACAAATAGTTTTACAAACATGAACATATCATAAATGCGAGATCTGGGTTTGAACCCGATTTACTTGGTTTTTCAAAGCGAGCGCATCACTAATGGGCTACTACTGTGCTTTTACTACTTAGAATATAAGTGTTTTGCAAAAAGTTTTAACTATTTATTTTATCTTTGTATACCATATTTTAAATAATATGTACACATATTGTGGATATGAGTACCTACTTAGCATGCAAGTACTAAAAGAGCCAGTGCTAACCTTGTTTATGAATCCATGTGACTTGACAGTCCAATAGAGTTATAAAATATTATATATATAGGTACTAGCAGAACCCGCACCTTCGCTCGCGCTAAAACTACAAAAAATATCTAAAAAGATAGTTTCATACAAACTTTCATCCCCTATTTTACCTCCTTATAGAATCAATTTCAAAAAATGTTAAAACACGTATTTATTTAATTGTACTGAAGAGCATTAATACCAAGTTTTAAGTAATTCTGATCATAAATATTTTTTGGGTAGTATTATGACGTGTTTTCCCGTGGGAAAGAGATAATCTAACGCTGTAAAAAGGAGCTTATGTCACTCTCCGGCCCTCCAACTGTCCCCACACAAAAATCACTCCAATTTGTCACTCCGTTTCAACGTGAAAGAAGGACAAACAAACAAATAAACAATCACACTTTCACATTTATAATATTAGTATGGACGATGTATATCATGTATATTATTGATTCTATACTTATGTAAAAAATGCATAAAAAGAAAACTTATGAAAAAGTAATTTAGTTTCTTGACTGTTAGTCTCTTAGCAGCAACAGAGTAGGGAGTTAAAAATTTTATGCAATATATTTTATACTATGATGAGGCATGCGCTATATGACGTGGCACCGAACATGTTAATAATAAGGAAATATGAATTGAGTACTTTGCAAATAATTGTGAACTTTTGGCTACACGGGGTAGTGTTTGTTAAGATTTTTGAAATTATAAAAAATTATAAACTGTGTAAAAAACGAGCTTTAATTATACTATTTCCGGTCGGTCATATTTTAGCTTAGTGAGATGAAAATATAGCAATTTGTCCGCGACGTTTGAACAAAAACATATAATTATTTTAAAAACATGATTTACAACTAATTTGTTGGTTCCATACAATACACGATATTGTAACTGATGATAATTGTAACTATATTATAAGTGTATATCATCTAATATGTTAAAAACTAAAGCTAGAACATTCTGCAGTATATTTTATAAATCAACTATCATATCCGCGCGGCTCCGCCCGCGTATTTCAATTATGTATTACTATATCTTTATAAATTTTACCCTATGTATTACTCTGATGCTTAAGCTATATTTCTATAAGAGTTTCTTCAAAATTCGTTCAGCAGTTTTTGCGTGAAAGAGTAACAAACATCCATCCATTCATCCTCATAAACTTTCACGTTTATAATATTAGTAGGACATCGTTTTAGAGATCATTCTAGTTAGTATTCCTTTTTTTTTTGAGTTTTTACTTTGAGCATACTTCATCTTTTTAAGATTTAGTTATTAGTTGCAAATGAAATAATTTTATTGTAATAATTGTTTACATGTTATGTATCAAAGGTAAATAAAACAAAAACTAATCCCGTCTAAACTAGTCCCGATACTGTCTAGAGTCTAGATCTCTATACGATAATTAACTTTGAGTATAACTCAGGTGCTTTGCTAACAATACTTTGGTAATATGATATATTGTAGACTCCAAAAAACAACAGGAAAATATTCCACGCTTATCATTTGCGTAAAGATAACAGCATAAAACTCTTGAACATCTAATTAAATAGCTTGATGAGGAATTCGACCAGATTGTACTGGTGTTCGCCCAGTGGACGAAATTCGACCATTTTTTTTATTGATAATACTAAATCTCGTCAATAGCTACTAAACAAAAAAAAAGAAAAACGGTTAAGAAAAAGGAGAAAAATTTACCGAAGTGTTTTGCCTATTTATATGTAGAGATACTTACTGGGAAAACCTTGATATATCAAGAAAATCTCACATTAAATTACTCGGCTTCGACTTTTACATAATTCACAAACCGCAACGCGTCATACGAGTATGTACCAACCAGGAGATAATAGTTTAAACACGACTTGTTCATTATCAGTGACAACATAATGGAAAGATAACATTATTTACAAGGATTTTCTCATATAAAGCTAAACTCTCAATTGAAAGATCTTAGTTTGTAAATAAATTTAAATATCTAATATATAAAAATCTCGTGTCACAGTGTTTGTGGTCGCACTCCACCGAAACGGCTCGACCGATTTTAATGATTTTTTTTGTATATTTGGTAGGTATGAGAATAAGTAGTAAAGTATTCTTTACCCATCTACCCCCACCCCCCAATTTTAATCGTGATTTTAGTATTTTTTTATGAATTATATACATACTATATACATACAATATTATATACATGCTATATAACATAAAGCAAAAGAGTTTTTTTGTAGATTGAACGCGATCATAGCCGCGGGTTCTGCTAGTATTTGCATAATATTTTGAAGCCATTGTATTATAAATTATGTATATAACTTTTCTAATCGCTCTACGTGTCCCGCCGAATTTCTATCCACAGTTCTCCAGATTGAGGCATTCTTTCCGTACGACTAGTTAAGTTATTGATACTCGTAAATAATAAGTATATTTCTAAAATACTAAACTATGTGTCTAAAATAAAATAAAACATAAAGTTTATATTTCTTACAAAAATAAAGAATTTGAGTCTGTTTTAGCGTTTAGTTCTAATAGATGACGAAATGTTAAAGGTTTTTCTTTTTTAACCGACCTTACAAAGCAGGAGGTATTCCATTTGTCTGTAAACACAATAGGACAGAATTTTATCTTTTATTTACATTGCTAATTTGAACGTAAACACTTTAGAAGACAAGTCATCGAACCGATTCTTGGTTTATTAAAATGAATATTTCTATAGATCTCAGTAATATAAGTGTATAGTGTATCTATTACAAATTATATTAAAGAACTAGCTTTACCCGCGGTTTCGCCCGCGTTCAGATGACCACAAACCAAATTCTTAGGTTTTACATATTAGTATATTCTTACATTGCAGTTTTTGTATTTTTTCTCAAAAATGAGATATTTTTCCGCGGTAAAAAGTAACCAGCTATTACCATACCAAATTTCATCAAAATTCCTACAGCGGTTTTTTGTGATGCGGTAACAGACAGACATACAGACAGACCGACAAAAAATCTAAAAACTGTAGATTCGGCCTCTGCATCGATAATAATGTCTATTTCAATAAGATTTTCCAAAAAAAAATTAATGTACAGATTCGGCTTGGTTACAATTTTATTATATGTATAGATATGCTGGACATGTTGCATTTCTCGGTTTTTAATAAAAATCAAATATGTAACTAAATCGATGCAAAGTAACTCTAACATATATATAACCTAAAATACTAATAATATTTTAACTATAATTAGAGTTACATTATAAATATCATATTTACCTATTAGATATTCATATCTTAAAATATTGTCGGCTGGCACCGACTTCGAAAATATCGGATTAGGTATTTATTTTAAATGAAAACCGCCGTTTAGTTATTTTATACATTTTAGTGCCTGAAAGTCGGTTTTTTAAGCTTTTATATATAAAAACTAGTCTATGATATATTTATCCATCATGTGTAAATCGTGGGTTTCCTTTTATCACTTTCCTTTAACATAGGAAAGCACTTATGTATGTTATAAGGAATTGATACCCTCGAGTCATTAGTTTTTGTTTTATTTACCTTTGATACATAACATGTAAACAATTATTACAATAAAATTATTTCATTTGCAACTAATAACTAAGTATCGGGACATAAACTTTTTTTTTTGCCTAGGTAGCATACATATTCCTTCCAGAGCTACACCTAATCTAAGAATCTAGAATCTAAAAATAGATTTGCGTACATAAAAAATATTCTGGTATATTAAAACAGACTTTCATCCAGCAGTAGACGGCGATAACTTAAAGAAAAATGATATAAGAAATATTACACCAAGTATCAATATCTTACAATCATTAAAAATTGGAATGGATATTGGGCAAGTGTTTTAACAATGTTTATGACTTTTGAAGCATTTACCAAAGTTACATGCTTACTAATAAGTAGACTTAAATTTTTTTTTCATCTGTCAGTTGCCTGTATGGGGTACCACCTCTGCTTTTAATATTTTGTTATTTGACTATACAATTGTCTAACATTACATATGAGACACCTATAAAACAAATTTGTGGAATGAAGCTCTAATGGTCTCCGAGTAAATTGGCTGTGACATACGGACAGAAAGACAGATATGATGAAATTATAAGAGTTTTGCCTTTTGGCTACGGATCCCTAAAAATAGAGGTAGTGATCCGTCAATCAAACGTTCAGGAGAGCAATGGAAATGAAAGATGTTTGAATGGAATGTTCGCTTTCAAACAAGTTTTGCTTTCGTTATTGATTTAGAATGCCCATTTGGTTTACATAATGTTAGGTGGTATTAAATGAATTAATATTAATCACTTATATTTGACTAGTACTACCCGCAGCTCCGCCCGCGTTCAGATGACCAAAAACCAAATTTTTAGGTTTTACATATTAGTATA